TCCTGTCATGATTTGCACAGCCTGTCCGGTTTTGCCGGACCCACCCGGCTGCATCAGAGCCATTTTAAATTAAAATGGACTTTAGAGTGAATGGACTTGAGCGAACAAAAAACACATACACTGTTAGAAATTTGTTCATTCAAAAAAAATTTTCCATTCCGCCCCTCCAAATTTTTCTCATCTTTGCGGTCACTGACCCCACTAATGATTAGAAAGGTGAGTGAACTTTATTGAAACAAGGAATTTTAAATGGAATCTGACTAGTTTTATAGTACGCTTAAAAGATAAGTTCACCTTTGGAACATGTAACATGGGTGGAACATGTAACCTGTTCCAACATCTGTACCCTGCACCTCCACCCCCCCATCTCTGTGACAGCGGGTGGGTGATCTTCCCCCCTGCACCAGCTGTCACAATTTAAAAACAGCACGTCCGTGCAGGGCTCCATCCATGCAGCTGTACCATTTTTTATTTTTTTTTCTCCTGTGAATGAATAGCCTATAAGTACCATCAGCCATTGCAGCTGACATCTTGTAGTTCTCAATGAACTATGAGGGCACTGTTGAGCACTTGGGTAATTAATTGGTTCTTCTTGCTCTTGAGCGACTGCCTGCCTGTACGAGGTACTGGCAAAGAGCTATATACCACCTCCTGTCAGTGCTTAGCTGTCACAGTATAATGAAGGAATATCTTTACACCACTGGGTGAATACAATTTTTGGACATCACAGCTTCTTGGCTTTATTCATTAGCTGGCAGTCATCTTCCCTTTAGCTAGCCATATACAGTGTATCCAGAAAGTATTCACAGCGCTTAACTTTTCCCACATTTTGTTATGTTACAGCCTTATCCCAAAATGGATTACATTTTTTTTCCTCAACATTCTACAAGCAATACCCTATAATGACAACATGAAAGAAGTTCATTTTGAAATCTTTGCAATTTATTAAAAATAAAAAATGAAAAATAAACATGTACATAAGTATTCCCAGCCTTTGCTCATTACTTTGTTAAAGCACCTTTAGCACCAATTCCAGCCTCAAGTCATTTTGAGTATGATGCTACACTCTTGGCGTGCCTATTTTTGGGCAATTTCTCCCATTCATCTTTGCAGTACCTCTCAAGCTCCATCAGGTTGGATGGGGAGTGTCGGTGCACAGCCATTTTCAGATCTCTCCAGAGATGTTCAATTGGGTTGGGCCACTCCAGGAAATTCAGAGTTGGCCTGTAGCCACTCCTTTGTTATGTGGGCTTTGTGCTTAGCATTGTTGTCCTGTTGAAAGATGAACTGTCACCCCAGTCTAAGGTCCAGAACGCTCTGGAACAGGTTTTCATCAAGGATGTCTCTGTACATTGCTGCATTCATCTTTCCTTTGATCCTAACTAGTCTCCTAGTTCCTGCCGCTGAAAAACATCCCCACAGCATGATGCTGCCACCACCATGCTTCACTGTAGGGATGGTATTGGCCAAGTGATGAGCGGTGCCTAGTTTCCTCCAGACATGATGCTTGGCATTCATGCCAAAGAGTTCAATCTTTGTTTCATCAGACCAGAGAGCTTTGTTTCTCATAGTCTGAGAGTCCCTCAGGCCTGATTGGTGGAGTTCTGCAGAAATGGTTGTTCTTCTGGAAGGTTCTCCTCTCTTCACAGAGAAACACAGGAGCTCTTTCAGACTGACCATTGGGTGCTTGGGTACCTCCCTGGCTAAGGCCCTTCTCTTTCGATTGCTTATGTTGGCCGGGTGGCCCGCTCTAGGAAGATTCCTGGTGGTTCCAAACTTCTTCCATTTACGGAAGATGGAGGCCACTGTACTCATTGGGACCTTCAATGCTGCAGAGATTTTTCTGTACCCTTTCCCAGATCTGTGCCTTGATACATTCCTGTCTCAGACATCTACGGACAATCCCTTAGACTTCATGGCTTGATTTGTGCTCTGACATGCACTGTTAACTGTGGGACTTTATATAGACAGGTTTATGCCGTTCCTAATCATGTAAAATCAACTGTTTTTTTTTTTTTTTTTATAAATTGCAAAGATTTCAAAACAAACTTCTTTCACATTATTATGGGGTATTGTTTGTAGAATGTTGAGGAAAAAAATGTATTTAATCCATTTTGAAATAAGGCTGTAACATAACAAAATGTGGCAAAAGTTAAGCGCTGTGAATACTTTCTGGATGCACTGTATAGCTCAAATTTCTGATAGTTCCTGCTGAATTGGTCAACGTTTGAGCCAAGGGTGGCCCTGGCAGCATAATTTTAAAAATCAACTAGCTGGGTAGCAAATTGTTAGCCAAGCATTGACTTCATCCAATCAAATGCAGGATGCAGTCAGGTATATAGACAGCGACGGGTGCTGTGGATGTCTGAATACAAGAGCTGGCAGTACAGATTCCTCCATCCACTCAGACCCTCACAACTTTATGGTTCATGTCACCTGTGAGCAAAATCCTCTCTTGTATTATAAAAGAGGTATAGACTCCAGAGAGATATCATATTACCCCGGTACAAATCATTAGTAAGACCTCATCTGGAATATGCAGTTCAGTTTTGGGCACCAATTCACAAAAAGAACATTGGGGAACTGGAGAAAGTACAAAGAAGGGCAACCAAACTGATGAGGCATGGAGGAGCTCAGCTATGAGGAAAGATTAGAGGAACTGAATTTATTCTCTCTTAAGTAGAGGAGATTAAGGGGGGATATGATCAACATGTATAAATACATCAGTGGTTCATATAGTGAACTCGGTGTAGAGCTATTCACCCTGAGGTCATCAGAGGACAAGGTGGCACTGTTTTACGTCTGGAGGTAAAGAAATGTAATCTCCAAACACGGAAAGGTTTCTTCACAGTGAGAGCTGTGAAAATGTGGAATAGACTCCCTCAAGAGTTGGTTCTGGCCAGCTCAGTGGATTGCTTTAAAAAAAGGCCTGGATTCTTTCCTAGATACACAGAATATAACTGGATACTAACATTTATAGGTAAAGTTGATCCAGGGAATATCCGATTGCCTCTCGGGGGATGAAGAAGGAATTTTTTTTCCAGCAGGAGCAAATTGGATCATGTTTTGCTGGGGGTTTTTTTTTTGCCTTCCTCTGGACCAACTGTGGGTATAGGATTATAACTTTTTTTTTTTTTTTTTTTTATGGTTGAAATGCATGGACTTTTGTCTTTTTTTTCAGTCAGAGTAACTATGTAACCTTTCCTTGAATGGAGTTTCCTTTCCCAGGCTGCAAAGTCTTATGTAAAAACATACAGTCACTCTTCAATTATCTGCAATATATATTAAAAAAAACACATCTTCAGTGGACCGCTTATTTTTCGTTCTCTTTGCCGCCCATCTATGACATCTGCAACCAGATCTTAGGAGTACAAGAGTACCTGTGCATGTAAATAAAAAAATAAATAAACTGCAAGATCAGAAGGGAAAGAGGCCTCTTCCTACCAAAATTAACAAAACTCCTTGGAAGGCACTAGTGACATTGCCTTCCCTGGGGGCAGCTGGGAGGTCAGGGAAAATGTCCCCAGTACCTTGAGGTAAACAAATGTTTAATTTTGCACCTCACCTTTTGCTGGGGAAGAAGCTGCTTGTTGCCTCCACTAGGCAGAAGTTCTGCATTAGAGTGAACGTGCAGCTTGCTAGCAACGTGCTTTTTTGTCTTACAAGAGCTCCCTCTAGTGGTCACAGAGAGCCCCACCATTAGCAGCACAGCTAGCTGTAAATGGGTTTTAGTTTCCTACTTTATAAAGCTGTCACTACATTTCTGAAAGTGCTGGACTGTTCAGTGCAAAGCTGTCATTTGATATGCGCACCTTAATGAGAGCTAAGATTCACATCTTACCAGACATAGGAAATGAGGCATGTTGCATATTACACTAATGAACTCACATCAATATTCCTACATCTTTCTTTTGGTTATATGATAACTTATGCCTGTTACTAAATATACAACTAAGCTATAGATATATGATATTAATATGTATTTTGATTGTTTGAATGTAGCAGTAGGAGTAACAGTAGGTTGCATACTATATACTTGTTAGCTGTTAAAAGAACACTGTAGTCAGGCTTTAAAGTGTGTCGGGTGTTCATTTTAAATTGAAATATGTACATAGGCTACCCGTATAATGCTTGGAATTGTAAATGCTATAAATTCATTGTAGCTGTAGGCACCTTTTCTTTCAGGAACACCAAAGGGTTTATTTACTAAAACTGGAGAGTGCAAAATCTGGTGCAGCTCTTTACAGAAACCAATCAGCTTCCAGGTTTTATTGTCAAAGCTTAATTGAGCAAGCTGAAGTTAGAAGCTGATTGGCTGCCATGTACAGCTGCAGCATATTTTGCAATCTCCAGTTTTAGCTATCAATTCAGATGTGCACACCAGGGACTTTTAAAGTGAATGTATAGCCAAAAATGTTTGTTTTTAGGTTTTGGCTAGACTATAGGAAGGATTAAAATCTGTGCCTGTTTATTTATTTGCATGTCTGTGTACCATTGGGGACATTTCCCTTCACTTCTGTCCCAGAGGCGCAACAAGAAGTTAGAGCAAATCTCCCAAAATGACGTCCCTGAAACAAGTGTCTCCTTTGTAAGATTTCCCCTCGTCTCTTGTTCAGAGGGCAAGTCTAAATTCTTAATCTTCCACTCACCTTCTTTCTGAGTGAAAATAGTCACCAGTAGTATGTGTGTGTGTGTGTGTGTGTGTGTGTGTGTGTGTGTGTGTGTGTGTGTGTGTGTGTATATGTGTATATATATATATGTGTGTGTGTGTGTGTGTATGTATGTATGTGTATATATATATGTATGTGTATGTATGTGTATATATATATATATATATATATATATATATATATATATATATATATATATATATATATGAATTTCCCCAATGGGAACACAGACCGCAATTCAAATTTGATAGGTTATTTAACCCTTTTCTGCCGTATCTAAATCTAAGAGGGAAGAAAGCTTGAAGCTTGTACTTTTTTTATGTTTTCTAGATGCTCCTGAAGTTTCAGTAACAGGTTATGATGGAAATTGGTTTGTTGGCCGTAAAAATGTCCAGCTGAAATGTAATGCTGATGCAAATCCATCGCCCACAGAAATAAAATGGACCAGGTAATTTTTTTTTTCTTTTTTTTTTTGTAAAATCCCCATATTACTTATTTTCTGAAAGCAGACACCCTAGAAAATAAAATACTGGTAGTTTCCAAATATAAAAGATGAGGTTGCGCTCGGGTTGCCACCTCATCCCTTTGTAAACCTGAACACATTAATTACACATGCTCTGTGGCTGATTAAGGTAGTAAATAAACTCAATGCCTCATGTGTTTTAAATTAGCCTCAGAATCTGTGTTCGGGTTTAAAGGGATGAGGTGGTAACCCTAGCTTGCGCTGAGTAAATGGATACCCAGCTTGTCAAAACCTAAACTTTTGTGTGCGCCTGTGAAATGGCAACAAACTTCAGTACTCTATATGTTCCATAGGAGATTTTTTTTAAATTTTTGTTGCCAGGCTGGTATGTGCGGCGATATGTAACCTGTGTAGCCCAGTCAACAGTATTGTTTGTTATGTTTGTATGTGCATGAATTTGGGGGGATTTAACGTTCCAGGATAGAACTGTAATTTTTTTTTAAAATTTTTATACTTTTTTTTTTTTTTTTAATCACATAGGGGACACAAAGTCCCCTATGTAATGCATTTTTGTTGATAGATTTTCTTTGAGACATCAGAGGTCTAAAAGATCCCTGATTTCTCACCTGCCTTCCGATGAATCTCCTGGAGTGCAGATCACACTCCATTAGATTCTTCCCTAGCCATACTGTCTGGGGACAGTGACCCCATTTCCGGGTCAGTTACACGTTGCTTTTGGAGTCAGTAACAGAGGTGTTCGCTGATCTCCCTCCCCTCTGTCCGGCGGCACCCACCATGCTGGTCCCCAGTATGCCAAAGTGCATGCGAAGCCCAGGAAACTTGGTGGGGGGGGGGAAAACTGCAGTTAGTGAGGCAAAATCAGGGTTAAGTGACGTAGTACCAAAGCTAAGAGTCCAAAACCACCCTTTCCCCACCTCCAATGATAATTACCTACCTAGCACTTCCCCATTGTCTGTCTGTTTTCCTGCTGAAGCCCTAATCGCTGAGTAATGTATTTGACAATCTGTGTCAGAGCTTACATAGGGTTAATAACCTTTTCTGTTCCTCACAGCAGTGCATGGGCCTGGCGACTGACCACTCAGGCCCAATCATTGCATCTTGGAAGGAAGGGGAAAAGTTTAGATACCCCTCAGAAGTGCTAAGTATTTCTGAGAGCTTCAACAGACAAAAGGTGCATGGGGCAGTACAGTGAAAGTAAATATCTGTGAGTGAGGTGTGGTTTTAAACCCTAGCTCACACCAGTGCGTCTTGTCATGTGACACGAGAGTTCAAAGTCACATGACAAGTTGCACCCCATTAGCTCCAATGGAACCATTTAAATTGGTGCAACTTTGAAAAAGGCTTCTGCACTATTTTTGTGACTTCATTGCAACTGCATTGACATCTGTTAAATGAAGTTGCACAGAGTGTCAGCAAGCCGCCATGAAGGCAGGCGAAGTAGCGATACTTCAAAGCCGTACTGGTGTGAACCAGGGCTAAGAGAACTTGTCACTGAGCGGTCAGAAATCATAGGCTATCCTGACATCCCTCGGAGTATGTCATCATGCTCCTACATTTGTATTAAGTGCAGAGTTCATGACTGTCCAGAACCTCGTGACTCCTCTCAGTCCAGCTTTGTGTTCTCCCATCCATTTTAGTAGAAAGGTCAGCTTTGTTAAACAAGCAGCTTGTAAGTGAGTAGAGGAGAGGGAATATTAAGGTGGGAACAGAAGTGCCCTCTTACATGCCCAGTTCTTGGCAAAGAAAGAAAGTAGTCACTACAGAGAACTTCCTGTGAGGTAATGATTACATCATTTTCTTTACATGTAAGTACCATCTTTATCATCTCCCACTAATGCTACGGAAATAAATGAAACAGACAATACTAGTTGGTATACGAATAGTTCAAAATATAAATATCGCAATAATGAAAATTGATTTTTTAACTTTCAATTTCAAAGTGACTGCATTGAAAAAAAAATATTTAAACTGTACTTCAAAGACCTAATCTACCACTGCTTGTTGATAAACGGCAGCTAGATGGACATACTGTTAATGTAACTGCAGGGTGAGCTGGCATTTGACTTCAATTTATTAGTGTATCTAAATCTGCGAGTCCATCTAACACTCCCCCCCCCTAGATTAACAACGCTGCTGTCTGATGTGCCCCCTGTGCTCATTCATCCAGAGTGTAGGCACTCTATTACAGAAGGTGTGTTACTGACCAGATCACCAGGTGAAAATGGGGGGGGGGGGGGGGTTGAGAAGCCTAAAAAAAAAGAAAACTAATGCAGTCACCACATCTAATTATTGGTCATTCGCAGTATATTGGGGTTGATTTACTAAAACTGCAGAGTGAAAAATCTGGTGCTGCTCTGCATGAAACCAGTCAACTTTCAGTTTTTTTTGTCAAAGCTTAATGGAACAAGCTGAAGGTAGAAGCGGATTGACTACCATGCACAGCTGCTCCAGATTTTGCACTCTCCAGTTTTTTTGGATCCAAAACGCACAGAAAGTAGGTTATATGGTTGTCAATGTCATAGTTCACATCGGCGCTTGCAGTTCCAGTGCATTCCAGTTGCAAAAAAAAAAAAGTAGAACATGCTGCATTTTTTTCTGCACAGAACTGCACTGGAACGCACATGTCCCTATTTAAAATGAAGAATAAGAGAGGGGAAAAAAATGTAACTGGAATGCATAAAAACCGCACTGAAACGCATCAAAAACGCACTGGAATGTGCATACAAAAACGCATCCGGAATGCATCTGAACTGTGTTTTTAGAGTGTGAACCTACCCTCAAGCAAGGTAAAATACATTTGCACGACTAAAACTGTTACAGCACAGCTCAACAAAAGTCAATTTAAAAATCAACTGAGGAGGGTGGAAAATTATTGGGCAAAAAGTGACTGTATCCTATCGGATGCTGTCAGTGCTTGAGTGTTCAGGCAGCTGCAGCTTCTGCGGCTGTTGAATACAGTAGCTGCCAGACCTTGCTGTTTACGATCTGACTCCTTTTTCCCTAGTTCAGCCCACTGGCTGACCAAAAGAAATCTAACCATGTATGGGCAGCACTAGAATATAGCTTACCCTGTTTATCTAGTTTGCTGCATTTCAGCAGCTATCAGCTTGGTGGAAAACTCTGAGATGATTGCTTGTTTATCTGATTTATATTGGGAATCCAATAATTTGTTTCAGCATTATACACAGGGAAATTGGATTTTTTTCATTATAAGGACTTCTCTATTCTGGCCACAGTGCGACATTGTGTCAAAAATTAAATTTGCAGAACAGATTAATTGAGTTTTAATATTAAATCGGCTCTAATCTGATTATATCACGGCTAAAGAAAATGCTTTCATGGAGAGTGCTTGGCAAAATTAAGTCCAAGATCTATTTTATTTATGAGTTCTAGGAATACTATATGCCTTTGGGGCATTGTTTAGGACAAGTGAGTTATGATATGTAAATGTTGCTAATCTGTCCCATACTTGAATAAAATATTAATCATTTTTCCCTGTTTGTCTTCAGACTCCCCCATTCACCAGTTAAATTATACCTGTAAGCTACTGTTTACCAACACATAACAGATTTAAATACTGATAAAATCAGACCGCGCCAAACAGTGGTATGTCATTTATACAGATTCATTTAAGGCTTTCGGACATACTGGTAGCTAGAAGTTGATAACATACAAACACAAATTTAAAGGGTAAAGATTACTTGGCCTAGAATGATGGTGGTAATTGGTTACAGTGAAATATGATGGCATTTACAGCAGGAGATATTGATTACAACAGTAGACTTGTTATAGATAAAACATATATAAATGTAGGATGTGCATTGGGTTCTCCCCAGTAAATGGTAAGTTTTTACAACAAAACAAAATGCCCCTAACACCGAAGCACCCCAATGCACTTGACCCCTCTATACTTATGTGTACCCTGTTGAAGCTGGAAATTACTGTAGTATTCATCGTCCTGGTGCATAGTAACCACAAGAGGCTGCATACTGCCAGAGTTATGTTTTTTGCAATGAATGCAAGGCAGTCTCTGATTGGACCAGATAAAGAGATGAGATGTCACTGCCCCCCAATCACCGCATCAAGTCAGAGAACATCTTGCATTAATTCAGAAAAAATGCTAGATATTCTGTGAATGGGGCCCATGCTGAGTGAACACACAGCTGTGGTTACCATACAATGGGCAGCCACTTGGTGTAGGACCCAGAAGACAGCCATGGTAACGGTAGTAGTTTCAAATGATTGTAAAGGTTCCGATTTTTTTTTTTTTTTTTTTTAAAATAACAAACATGTCCATTTTTCCTGCTCTGGGCTGTTTTGCACAGAGCAGCCCCAATGCTCCTCTTCTCGGGTCCCCCGCCAGCTCTCCTGGTCCAAATTGTGTTCCGCCAGTGCAAGCTGCTTGTTCTGGAGGCACTTGTGCATGCTCACTCACGAGCCGCCTCTGTGTGTCTGAGACGCACAGAGTACAGTAGGCCCTTCATTCCTCACTGGCTGTGATTGACAGCAGCAGGCGTTAAATACTGCTGCTGTTGTGCCTCAGCTAATGAGGAGGCAGAGACCCAGAAGAGTTTCTGCTCTTGTACACATCACAGGATCGCGATCAGGCTCAGTTGAATATTAGGGGGGAGGGGGAGCTGCACACTGAAGGTTTTTTACCTTCATGTATAGAATGATTCTTTATTAATTTGTTTTAGCCAAAAAGGGGATCACTTCAACTCCTATATTTTTGCATTAATCAATGGCTAACATGGTAAATTCTACTGAACCTTAGCCCAGGCTTTCCTAATAGAGAATACTTGCTTTATAATCTGTGTGTAATCTGTGAGTGTTTGCACTGGTAGTAGCATGCCTTTCCTAATCATTGTGTGACAAGCACTGAAACAATGATTTAGTTTAAGTAGCAGTAAGCAGTATGCAAAGAAAAATCTAGTACTTTCATCTTTCTTATAAATGATTTTGATTTTTCCTTAACATTTCGGTTTTTCTCATGTAATTCTAGAAACTGTGATAATTACAACAAAATCAGTGACTACTGTATTAAATCATTTATTCATTGTACACACCAGCATAATTATGTTTTAAGATGTAGTAAAATATTTTGAATCTGCCAAAGTCTTATTTGAATGTGTTTTACATTAAAATAGGTTAGATGGAGTCTGGCCTGAAGGCTTGTTGTCTATCAATAATACACTATATTTCAACTACCCTGTTACTCACAATGTATCTGGGATATATGTGTGCAGAGTGACCAATGCCCTTGGTCAGAAAAGTGACCAAAAGATCATCACAGTTTTGGGTGAGTTGATGTTTTATTATGTTTGCAATATATATATCCCATATTTCTATAGCACATTCACACTATGCAGCCATTTAGAGTGGTTGTGGGACGAATACAGAGATAAATGGGAGGGGGGAGAGGAATGTATAAACTCTAGTTAGACAATGTCATTGGTGGGAATCAAAGCTTGGACACAGTGATTTATGTATCTGAAAGAACTACGACTTGACTAGCTATACTGGGACTCCGTTTTTTTTTATGTGAACTGTTTGTTTGGGGCCCATTCACACCTTGGCATCCTGATGCACTGTGTTATCGCATATTAAAGTGTATGTAAACCCTCACCTTGTAAAGCAACCCATTCAGTTTAAAATAGAAATGAAAGGCAAAACATTTGTGTATAGATCTCAAAAGGATTATAAACACTTTTTTTTTTTTTTTTTTTTTTTTTGTCCATTTTTGTGCGTGATCACATAACCTCTGTTGTCAGATGGATAAGATCTGGGGGAGGAGAAGCAGCAGAATACTGAACTTCCCAGTGAAAGGCTTGGGGGGGGGGGGGGGATTGTGTCAGCAGAAATCTGATCTTCGGAGCAGAGCAGGCTGAGTTCCCAGCATAGCTAGAGACCTGACCACACTGTATTCTCCTGCTTAGTGTGGTCAGTTTTTAATAGGAAAGCAGAGTGACTGGCAGGAACACAAGAATATCACACAAAGGAAGCAAAACAAAGAGAGCATGATACTTTTTTACACAAGTACATGGTATTGCAGGCACAGATCATGAATATGAAATGTTGTGTTTCAATGCTCTTTAAATTAAAGCAGCCAATTTCCGTGAATCCAAAAATGCCTAAAAACATTGACATGCACCAGTTTTAGCAATGCAATACACCACAATGAACAGTAGTAAGTTACTGTGCATTGCATTGAACACTGCAATTCAGAATGAATGGCACCACAACGTGCTACGCATCGCACTGGAAAGTTGTGAGTGGGCGCTGAATCAATCTATAGTTATTCTGAACCACTGCGTGAAGCAAAGTCGAACTCAAATAAAAATGATTGCTTACAGCATAAATAAGAGACTATGCAAAATAGGTTTTAAGGGCTTCTACATATATTCACATCCTACATTTTTAATCAGTTTGTGCCTTGTTTTTCTAATATAGCAGTAAGTACATTTTGGTATTTTGGTGTTTTTTGTAGTAATATTCAACTGCATTGGGGTATAAAATGATTACTAACCCAATCCATGATATGGTAACAGAGGACTTGATTTAGGTTATTCTATAAATCAAGGATAACAAAGTAGTGGCACAGAACCCAATTTTGCATTTTACATCAGGTTTTTATTTTGTTTTTGATCTAGTTTTTTTCCTGTAGAAGTTTTTATTTATCTATGAAAATTAGGGATGCACCAAAATTTTGGTGGCCAAAATGTTTCGGCTGAAAACACCCCCATCAGCCTTTGGCCGTTATGAAAATAAGCAGCGATACAGGTGCTGAAAATAACTCCACCACCACCCGCTCACTGCCTCTCAGCCTTACCTGAGAAACCATCGAACGATCCCGATGCTGGGCATAGAGATAAGTGATGGAAAGATGGCCTCCACTCATCTCTATGCCCTTGGAGGACCGGAGCAACATCATTACGTCACTTCCGGTTCTGTTGCCTTGTAAACAAGGCCATTTTTTTTAAGGCACTAGATCAATGCTTTTTTTGATCTAATGCTTTGCATTGTAAAGGAGAGATGTGGGGTCTTATTGATGCGAGATCTCACCATAAAGAAGACCTGTCACTGCTTATTTCTATCACAAGGGATGCATGCATTTTTTAAAGGGACAGTGCAAAAAGAAAAAATTAATTTAAATAAATTACAAATAAAAAAAGTTTAAAAGTGCCCCTGTACTTGCGCGTAGTGGTGAACATATACGTAGGCCATCTCAACATAGTAAACGGTGTTCAAACCACACATCTGAGGTATTGCCACAAACGTCAGAGCAAGAGCAATAATTCTAGCACTAGACCTCCTCTTTAACTTTAAACTGGTAACCAGTAGAAATTTTTAATGTATCACCCATGGAGATTTTTAAATACCGTAGTTTGATGCTGTTCTACAAGCGTGCGCAATTTTAAAGCATGACATGTTGGGTATCTATTTGCTCAGCGTAACATCCTCTTTCATATTTTAAAATTGGGTTTATATTGTGGTTTGTTTTGGGTTTTTTTTTAAATCATTAAAGTGTATTTTTTTCCACAAAAAATTGCTTTTCAAAAATAAATATTAATAAATTAATTTTTAAAAACCATCCATTTCGGTTTTCGGCCAACTGCATCCTGAAGTTTCCATTTCGATACCAGAATTTTCATTTTGGTGCACAAGAGTTATCTTTCCTGTTTCAATATTTTTATTAAAGTTTTGTTTAAGAATATAACAAGCTCAAAATACGCCCTCGCAGGGGCAGAGCAGAACAATAACACATAAACAGAGACATCCTGCTTTTAATAACGAAATGTCCAGTGACATCAAGAAGGGACGGCAAAAAGCCAATTCAAATAGCAGCAGTAAGCCAACATAATATCGGAAAAAGAAGAGAAAAGAAAAAAGGTTAGAAGAAAAGAATATAAACAAAAGGGAATCATAAAGAAAACATGAAAGAAGGGAAACTAGAAGGATCACGGATCTGGGGCTAGCATAGGCAGCGACTATAGGAGGCCATAAGTAGTAGGAGGCAGGGATGGCAAGGAATAATGTATCCAAGGTTTCCAAACCTCAAGGAATCTCGGATGAGAATCCTGAAGAATACTAGACATCTGTTCATTGAACAACATAGCATTCATCCGGGTCTTCACCCCCTGGAAGACACCTGAAGGGGTTCTCCAAGCTTGAGCTATAGCACGTTGCACTCCCTACAACCTCACAAACACCCCCTTTCCTCTCTCTGATCATAATCTCATCACCTTCACAGTGTCCTCATCTTCAAACACCTATCCCTCCAAGTAGCAAACAATTACCCGCAGAAACCTTTACAACTTGAACCTTGCTCCTTTCCACTCTGCAACTGACTGCCTCTGACAGAATCTCTCCCCTGTCCTGCCCTGACCTGGCCACTGCTATCTACAACAGTTCACTTTCATCCACACTAGACTCATTTGCTCCTCTAACAACATGAAGTATTAGGCCCCAACCATTACAACCTTGGCAGACTGATGACACCAGAAATCTTAAATGACATAGTCGTGCGCTGGAGCGATTGTGGCGTAGCTTTCGCCCTATTTAAATCTGCTTTCTTAACATACAATTCCACCCTCCATGCTACCGAACAAGCCTACTTTGTCACTCTCATCAATAGCTTGTCATCCAGTCCTCGTCACCTCTTCTCTACTTTTAACTCTCTACTTTCTCCACCTCCACCCAGTACCTCACTCACTGATTACGAGTTTGCAAATCATTTTAAAAACAAGATTGATGCAATTCGTAGGGGCATCACCACTGCACAGACATCCATCCCACTTAGCATACCTTATACTAAACCTCCCTCAACACTTTCCTCTTTTGACCTTGCTACTACCGAAGAGGTCACTAAGGTTTTCTAAGAAGCCCGTGTCACTACCTGCCCCCTGAATCCTGTCCCCTCACAACTACTACGGTCACCCTCTTCTTCCATCCTATGCTCCCTCACTCACATCTTCAATCTCTCCCTCTCTAACGGTGCCTTCCCTTCCCCTCTAAAGCATGCACACATCACTCTCATGCTTAAAAAGCCCTCGTTAGACCCCACCAACCTGAACAACTTAAGACCCATTTCCCTGCTCCCGTTTTACCTCTAAACTCTTAGAACGTTTGGTCTACAATCGCCTGAGCTCCTACCTCACTGACAACAACCTTCTTGACCCTTTGCAGTCTGGATTTTAGCTCACTACACTCCACTGAAACTGCCCTACTAAAACTCACTAATGATCTACTAACCGCTAAAACCAATGGCCACTACTCCGTATTCTTACTACTTGACCTCTCCGTGGCTTTTGATACTGTCGACCATCCGCTCCTCCTCAAAAAAAACGCCACTCTCTTGGCCTCTGAGACTTTGCTCTCTCCTGGTTCTCCTATCTATCGCAACGCTCCTTCAGCGTTACCTATAACTCTGGCTCCTCCTCTCCACTCCCTCTTTCTGTAGGGGTCTCGCAAGGTTCTGTCCTTGGACCCCTACTCTTCTCCATCTACAACTCCTCCCTTGGTCACTTGATAAACTCCTATGGCTTTAAGTACCATCTCTGTGCTGATGACACACAAATCTATCTTTCTACTGCTCACCTCACCCCTTCAGTCTCCTCTCGCATTCACCTCCGCAACATCTCCAAGATAAGACCGTTCTTAACCTCGGAAACTACTAAGCAACTTATTCACCCCCTTGTTATCTCTCGCCTTGACTATTGTAACTCCCTCCTCATTGACCTACCTCATCACAGGCTATCCCCTCTTTAGTCTATCATGAATGCTGCTGCCAGACTCATCCACCTTACTAACCGTTCTGTATATGCCACCCCTCTCTGCCAATACCTCCACTGGCTTCCCGCTGCCCAACGGATAAAATTCAGAACATTAACAATAACATATAAAGCCATTTATAACTCTGCCCCAAATTACATCACCAATCTTGTCTCCAAATATCACCCAAACCGTACTCCAGCTCCTCGCACGACCCCCTACTCTCTAGCTCCCTTGTCTCCTCCTCTCATGCTCATTTCCAGGACTTCTCTAGAGCTTCCCCCATCCTCTGGAACTCTCTTCTCCATTTTATCAGACTATCGCCTACTCTGCTCACTTTTAGGCGATCTCTGAAAACCTATCTCTTCAGGGAAGCCTATCCTGTTCTCAGCTAATGATTCTTCTACTCCTCTTACCAGTCCATCCCCCACAGTTACTACCTTTTTGTACCACTAGCCCCTCCCTTTTAGATTGTAAGCTCCAAGGAGCAGGGCCCTCCTAACCCTCTTGTATTGAACTGTATTGTAA